CAGCGAGTCTACGGTCTCCGCTAGGCACCGCGCGAGTGGCACGACACATTGAGGACTACGCTTGCGGCTCTTGGGTTTGCTCCCTCTACTGCTGACCCGTCGCTGTTTCTGCGCACCGACACCTTCTGCCGCCATTCTACATCCTCGTGTACATCAACGACTTGGTCTTTGCCGCTGCTGGACTCGCCCACGTGAAGTCCGAGCTGCAGAAGAGACACACGTGCACAGACCTGGGTGAACTGCGCAGCTACCTTGGCTTGCAGATCACCCGGGACAGAGCATGCCGCACCATTACCCTGACTCAGTCACGCATGGTGCAGCAGGTCCTTCAGCGCTTCGGCTTCACGTACTCCTCGCCTCAGGCCACTCCTCTGCCTACTCGCCACTCGCTCTCAGCTCTGCCTTCGGATGAGTCCGTAGAGTCGAGTGGCTCGTACCCAGAGCTTGTTGGCTGCCTCATGTACCTGATGACCTGCACACGACCTGACCTTGCATAGCCTCTTAGCATTCTTGCACGCTATGTTGCTCCTGGGAGAAACAGACCAGAGCACATGGCTTCAGCAAAGAGGGTGTTGCGCTACTTGTGCAGTACGTCAGGCATGGGGCTAGTGCTTGGAGGGCAGATTCCAGTGGTCCTCACTGGGCACGCAGACGCTTCTTGGGCTGACGACCAGGCTACAGAGCGGTCGTTACAGGGTTATACCTTCAGCCTTGGTTCCGGCTCTGTTTCGTGGCAGGCTACTCGCTCGTCTTCTGTTCTCGGCTCCAGTTGTGAGGCTGAGATCTACGCCGGAGCCATGGCTGCTCAGGAGCTTTGCTGGCTCACCTACCTGCTGACTGACCTCGGAGAGCCGCCTCGTTCTCCTCCAGTGCTGTACGTAGACAACAAGGCCATGCTGGCCTTGTGTCGAGAGCAGCGCCTGGAGCACAGAACGAAGCATATTGCTCTCCGCTACTTTCTTGCTCGTGAGCTGCAGCAGCGTGGTCAGTTGCGACTCGCGTACGTGGCCTCTGAGGCCAACACTACTGATATCTTCACTAAGGCACTTGCGCCTTGTGATCATCTGCGCTTCTGTACTCAGCTTGGTCTTGTGCCTGTCTTGCCTCACTTACTCACTTTTTGACCTTGCTTGTACTGTGACATATATATATACTCCTGCTCTTGCTTGTTTAGCCTGTTATATATATGTGTTCCTGCATGTGAACTGGTCTTCTGGCCTTGAACTTGTGTTCGGAATGTGTGGTGACTTTGTGATCCACCCTGAGCTTTGCTTTGCTTTGCTTGACTGGTCTTGTGACCCCTTGTTCTCCCCCACTTTGCCTATGGGGGTGTGTCAAATTATAATGTTGTGTAGGCTATAGTAGGGTAGCCTATATGGGGTACACATTTCTAGGGTTGCATATTTGTATCACTTTCATTCCTTAGTCCATCATTCCTCGTTCATTTTCACACCTTTTTTTGTCTTGGGATGAGATTCGATTGGGCGCGAAGGTACTGTAGTGATCGGTGGTCTGTCCGTACTGTCACGTTTGCTCTCGTGAGGTAATATCGCCACACCTTGAATGCGTGCACGATCGCCAGCATCTCGCGGTCGTGTATCGGGTAGTTGCGTTCGGGCGGGTGAAGCTTGCGGGACTTGTACGCGATTGGCTGGAGGCTGTTCCCAAAATCTTGCAACAGTACTGCTCCCACGACGATGTTGCTAGCGTCGGTGACGAGCTCGAACGGACAGTGTGGATCTGCAATGTGAAGCACGGGCGGCGAGCACAAAACTCGTTTGAGGGTGGAGAAGGCAGCATGGTCGTTCTCCCCCCATGTGTACTCAACCCCCTTCCTCAGCAGGTCGGTCAACGGGGCAGTCAACTTCGCCATGTCAGGGACGAACCGACGCACGTAGTTTATATACCCCATAAAACTCTGCAACTCGGTCAAGTTGGTCGGCGCGTGCCACGCTTGAATTGTCGCAATGTTTTTCGGGTCTATTTCACTCCTTCAACTGAAATGATTTGTCCTAAAAATTCTAGTCTGTCCTGTAAGAACTCACACTTCGAGGCTTTAGTCAGTAGGCGGTTCTCACTCAGTATTTTAAAAACTACTTCGATGTCCTGTAGGTGTTGTGCTTTGGCTGGGCTGTAAATTAGTATGTTGTCTAAGTAGACGATGACGCACTTATATAAGAGCGGGCGGAAGGCTTCGTTCATGGTCATTAGAAAAGTGGCGGGGGCGTTGGTCAGTCCGAAAGGCATGACGGTGTATTCGAAGGATCCGTAGCGTCTTCAAAAAGCTGTCTTCGGGCAGTCGGGTGGGTTGACTCGGATCTGGTGGTAGCCTCCCCGAAGGTCGATTTTCAAGAAAACCCGGGCTATGCGCAGTTGGTCGATCATTTCTTCGGCTCGTGGGATGGGGTAACGGGATTTGATTGTAACCTTGTTCAGTGCGCGGTAGTCGATGCACATGCAAAAACCCCCGTCTTTTTTTGGTGTGAACAGTATCGGTGCTGCGAAGGGTGACGAACTCGGGCGAATAAACTCTTTCTCGAGCAGCTAATCCAGCTGCTTCCTCAATTCGTCTAGTTCGGGTTGGGTCAGCCGGAACTGTTGCTGTACTGTCGGCTGTGCCCCTGGTTCTAACTCTATCATGTGGTCGTGCGGTCGGTGACGTGGCAGTCCTGTCGGCAGGTCATCCAGAAATATCCCACCGTACTGCTTCAGGAGTGCTGCCAAGTCATCCGGTCCGCTTCGGCGCGTTTCATCGTGATCGCGTTGACACGCACCGTCGAAGACTCAAGCGAGCCACAGCGAGGTAAGGCGATGTTGTTACCGTTCACTCGCACTGTACAGTCCCCGTCGTCCAGTCAATTCGCGGGTTGTGTCGTCGTAGCCAATCACAACCGAGTAAAATGTCGGTTCCGTCGATGGTTGTCACGAGCATTTCTTCACTCAACGTGAAGTTACCTTCGCATCGAATCCGAACCCGATCTACGCGTTCCCGTATCGCCAGTGGCGTGCCGTCAACCAGTCTTGCATCGATCTCAGGTAAACATCTGTCCAGTGGCAGTCTTAGTTTTCGTGCTGTGGCGATGTTGATCAGGCTGTGGCTGGCTCCCCTGTCTACAAATATTTTAACTAAGTCCGTCCCAATTTTCCCACTAAGCAGTATGGGGTTGTCTACCGTAGTACCCTCCTCATTCGGCCGGGTGTGGTCGATTGCTTGAACCGGCTCAATCACTCGGTGAAAGTCGGTTGGGTCGGGCGAGCGGCGTGACCTGTCAATAGAGGGCCCGTCTGCTACTAACTCCCAGCGTTTCCCTGCTGCTTGGTCTGTTTCTGCAGCTCAGCTTCCCCCTTTCCCTTAGCATTTTCCGGGCATTCGCTCTCGCGGTGTCCCGGCCGATTGCAAGCGAAGCAGTGCCTTTTGAACAATGTGGCAGCGGCATTCACGGCGACGGCACGTATCGTAGCGCCCTCGTTTGTCCCACGAGATCGATTTCCCTGGTTACTGCTGCTTCCGTAGGACCTCGGTCTCGGTCGGCAAAAAAAATCAAGCTTCTCCGCCATAGAGAGAATCTCTTGAAAATCGGTGACGCCGCGAAGCTGTATCTCCTAAGTGATGTTGTGCTTCAGGCCGCCGATGTAGTGGTTGATGTGTTCGCTCTCGTGCATGTTTCCCACTTGTTCGCATAGCGCTAGAAGCCCGCTGGTGTAATCCTGGACGGAACCGAATTGGCGCCAAGTGCGGAGCTTCTATCGCGCCGCGATCGAAGCTGCGATTGGCTCAAATCGTGCGCGCAGACCTGTGCACCACGCGACCCATGTGTGATATTGGGGCACCTCCACGAAATACGACGGCGCCCAGGGTCCGGTTTGTCCTTCCTGTGTCGGTAGAGTCGCGTAGTCTATCGGCTTCGTGACGATGACGTGCCACCAGTCCATGGCGGGTCCTCGCAGCAGCGACACGGCGCAGCGAATCTTCGCCGTATCCTCGGAGACGTAGTTGGCGTCGAAAAATACATTCAACGTGAACAACCACACCTGAACGGTAGGACCACCCCGTTGACTCGGTTCAAAGCATGGCGGATGCTGCGGCAGCGGCATCGACGACGGCAGTGTTGATTCGTCGGCCGGCACAGAAATCGTGACGGGAGGTTGACTCCTGGCCGCATTCATCGCTTTGGGGTGTATCGTGCCGTGGTCGTCGTCTCCGTCGTGGCGGACGACGCCATCACTGGCCACGCTCGCGGGTTGCCCCACACTTCTGTGCTGCGATGCTTGTGGTGCGGGTTGTACCGGAGTGCTAGGTGCTTGTGATTGCGCTTGTTATTCTCGTGCGACGTCATTCTGCACGGAAGTGCGTTCCGCCGTCAGCGCCGCAATTTCTTTTGAATTTTGGTGTAGCTGGCGAAGCAATTCGTTCAGGCGGTCCTGCCTGAGCGTCGTGACGTCAATGTGTTCAGCCATGTCGAGGGGCGTTGGCTCGGCTTAGTCTAGGCGCAGTCGTGGCTGCACGCGTTTACGAGGGAACGCAAACACAACGGCTCCTAGGGGCTAAGGTGCGTGAGTCCCTTCGAGTGAAAAAACAAAAGTTGCTTCCCTTGGGTGCGGAGATGCGCGGTCCGAAAGAAAGTAGCTCTGATACTAAGTGTTACGGGTGCAATGAATCGAGGTAGCGAGGATTGCACTAAGTGTCGAACGAGTACAAAATGTGAGCGAAGGCATGAGCGAACATTTATACGTGAAAAAATGCAAACGGTAACGCGGTGCGTGCGAGCTAGCTAGTGCTAGGGTGGCATCGAGGCTCGGGCTAGTCCCGAAGCATAGGCTGACACGGCCTGGCCAGCGGTGCATGGTTTGGTGAAACAGTGCGCGCGAAGTCGGCGAAGCCTCGTTAGCAGGAACAGGCGAACAACGGCTGCTGCTGCTCGCGATGTTGCAGGTCGCGCTAAGGAATGTCGAGAAAATTCCTTACGCTTGGGCAAACAACCAGTGTTCAGTTCTGATTGATGACACTTTTTTGGCGCTCCAGTAAGATTTCCGTAAAACTCTCGTGAAACCCCTGCGAAGCCCTCGCGAAGGGCATGTCAGGCACCAGTGAACGTGAATCCTCGCGAAGGCCCGTTCAAGGGAGTGTCATGGCCTCGTTAAGGGCCTGTGAAGCAGAATCCGCGCGAAAGTCCCGTCAAGGCCCCGCAAAGCGCTAGTGAAGCGTTAGTGAAACGTTGACGAAATTAAAAGCTGCGGATATTGTTGGAATCGTGAGAACGAGGACAATGCGATTGGCATTAACAAGAAGACTTTCCAACATTTACGATCCTAATATTGCGCTGCTGGGCTGGGAAAGCCCGCTCGTGGCAGGGCGTCGGCTCCGCTATAGCGAGTGCGGCTAAACGATTCAGGCCATCAAAGGAATCCTTCGCGTCCAGCAAGTCCGAGGTGGCAGAGGGGCAGGAGATTAAGGCCGGGAGCGCGGTTTAATAAATAGTCACGCGAGGACGTGCGGTTGAGAGCAGAGGAGAAGGAGAAGGTGGAATGTGCCCCCCTGGGCCTGGGTTCGTATCTGGCGGTGGCAGAGGCTTCTGCGGCAGACAACCCACCCAAGTTCATCCACGTCACCTACACGCCGCCTGCTGCTGGAACTGCTCGTGGTGGGGAAGGGGAGGAGGAGAAGGCGTTGAAGAAACCGGCGCTGATTGGCAAGGGGCACACCTTCCACCTGCCAGCGCTGATTGGCAAGGGGCACACCTTCCACCTGCCAGCGCTGATTGGCAAGGGGCACACCTTCCACCTTCCAGCGCTGATTGGCAAGGGGCACATCTTCCACCTGCCAACGCTGATTGGCAAGGGGCACACCTTCCACCTGCCAGCGCTGATTGGCAAGGGGCACACCTTCCACAGGTATGCATGGGTGTTCGCCTGCCCTCTCATGGCTCCTCGTGGCTCCTCATACCCCCCTCCCCACTCATTTTGTCAAATCATTATGTTGTGTAGGCTGTAGTGGGATAGCCTATATGGGGTACACACTTCTAGGGTTGCATATTTGTACCACATTCCATTCCTTGTTTCATTCATTTTCTCATTTCAGTTTTCTCATAATATCAAGCACGTTCCCTCGTGGGAACTGTGCCTAGGGCCCACCAAGTCGAAAGTTTTTTTTTCCTGCCCGGAGCGCGCTCGGCCCGAGTCGCGCTCCCCTCTCTGACTTCGTCGAGCCGCCCTAGCGGCCCCTGATTCGTCGCCCTAGCGACCCCGTCGCCCTACCTACGGCCCCGTCGCCCTACCTACGGCCCTAGCCCCGTCGCCCTACCTGCGCCCCGGCCCCGGCCCCGTCGCCCTACCTGCGATCCCGGCCCCGGCCCCGTCGCCCTACCTGCGGCCCCGGCCCTAGCCCCGTCACCCTACCTACGCCCCGGCCCCGGACCCGTCGCCCTACCTGCGACCCCGGCCCCGTCGCCCCACCTCCGACCCTGGCCCCGTCGCCCTACCTGAGCCCCGGCCCCGGCCCCGTCGCCCTACCTGCGTACCGGCCCCATCGCCCTACCTGCGTACCCGCCCCGTCGCCCTACCAGCGGCCCCGCTGCCCTACCAGCGGCTCCGCCGCCCTACTTGCGGCCCCACCGCCCTACCTGCGGCTCTGCCGCCCTACCAGCGGCCCCGCTGCCCTACCTGCGGCCCCGCTGCTCTACCTGCGGCCCCGCCGCCCTACCTGCGGCCCCGCCGCCCTACCTGCGGCCCCGCCGCCCTACCTGCGGCCCCGCCGCCCTACCTGCGGCCCCACCGCCCTACCTGCGGCCCCGCCGCCCTACCTGCGGCCCCGCCGCCCTACCTGCGGCCCCGCCGCCCTACCAACGGCCCCGCCGCCCTACTTGCGGCTCCGGCGCACTACCTGCGGTCCCGTCCCCGTCCCCTATCGCACGAGCCGCCTACGCAGCCGAGCCGCCCGCGCCGCTAAGCAGCCCAAGCCGCCCGTTCCGCCCGAGCCGCCCGAGCCGCCCGAACCGCCCGAGCCGCCCGAGCCGCCTGAGCAGCCGAGGAGCCGAGCCGCGGGTGCCGCCGAGCCGCAGTTGCTGCCGAGCCGCCCGCGTCGCCCGAGCCGCCGTGTTGCCGAGCTGCTCTGCTGCCGAGCTGCCCCAACCGCCCTGTCTGGTGAGCGCACCGCCTCTCTCACTGCACTGCCCTGCTCTACAGTTAGCGCTGCTAGTCTACTGCTGTCATGGCTACCCCCAGTGTTCTCACTTTTGACGCTGAGGGTCGGGCCATTGACTTTGACATCTTGGTAGATGACCTGCAGCTTTTCCTACAGTGCGATAGGGCAAACGGTCTCTCCCTCTTTGACCACACCTCTGGTGCCTCCCCTGCCCCTACAGCCGATGCCGACGCCACTGTTTGCTCACAGTGGGCCACTCGCGATGCTGCTGCTCGTCTTGCTGTGCGTCGCCACCTGCCTACCACTGAGCGCGCACACTTTAGTCAGTACAAGAGTGCTCAGACCTTGTACGACGGTGTAGTTGCGTGCTACTCTTCCTCTGCCACTATTGCACTGAGCCGCCTCATGCTACCGTACCTCTTTCCTGACATTGCTGCCTTTCCCACAGTCGCTGACCTCATTACGTACCTCCGCACTAGTGACACTCGCTACCGCGCTGCGCTTCCTGCTGAGTTCTGCGCCAAGACCCCCCCCCGCCATGTACATCACTCTCTACTACATCGTCAACCGCCTCCCCGACTCCCTTCGTGTAGTCAGAGACCACTTCCTCTCAGTCTGTCCCACCACTCTCACTGTTGACCTCCTCGAGAAGGCCTTCTTAGCAGCGGAGAAGAGCATAGTCACTGAAGGAGCCTCTCGTGGTGACCCTCGCACCCCCATCTTTGAGGGGTGTTCCCCCTCCCCCCTTTTGCCCTCTGTCGCCTCTGCTAGTGCGGCCGACCTCGTTGGTCTTGAGTCGCTCGGTGCGACGTCTACCCCCAGCGGGAGACGCCGCTCTAACAAGGGCAAGGGGGGCAAGGGCGCTGGAGGAGCTAGCGGGGGTGGTGGAGGCGACGGTGGAGGCGGCGGAGGGAGTGGGGGTGGCGGTGGGAGTGGCGGCGGAGGTGGAGGTGTCGGTGGCGGCAGTGGAGGCGGAGGCGGCGGAGGCGGTGGCGGTAGGAGCGGAGGCGGCATAGGTGGCGGAGGTGGAGGAGGCGGTGGTGGAGGAGGTGGAGCTGGTCGGGGTGGCGCTACGCAGCGGGGCGGCAGCGGTGGTGGTCACCGCCAGCAGCACCAGCAGCAGCAGCGGCGTTCTCGGGAAATCCCCCCCCCCTCAGCAGCTCCGTGAGTGGTACGCTGCACGTCAGCGGGGTGGGGGTACTGGTCCGTGCACCTACGTCCTACGCACCCGCGACCGCGCGGGTGAGCAGTGTGGGGGTGCACACCCCACCTAGCGCTGCTTTGGCCGCCTGACGGACGCTTGGCGTCACCACTTCCCGGAGGCCACTGAGATCCCCCGGTGGGGAGAGCTGTCTAGGGCGGGTGTAGGTATCTTTGATCTTGACTTTGATGCTATTCTTGCTGCCATGTATGCTATGACTATTAGTGATGAGGGTGACTGTTACCGGTGTTTCCCGCCCGACCCGGGCATTGAGACTGCTGCTCTAGGTACTGGTGAGGCTGCTGCTCTAGGTGCTAGTGAGACTGCTGCTCTAGGTGCTAGTGCGTCTGCGTCCTCAGGTGCTGGTGAGTCTGCGCTCTCAGGTACCGCGTCGGCTTCGTCCTCCCTCACCTTCACACTTGACTCACGGGCTTCTCGCTCCTTCTTTCGAGACCTCACCACACTCACGCCGCTTGGTCGGCCGGTTGCAGTCTCCCTGGCAGACACCTCTGGGGGTCCTGTCCTTTCTCACTTCTCCACAGTCCTCCCGTGTCCGGCGGCCCCCTCTGGCACCTTGTCTGGTCTTTACCTCTTCTCGTTCTCTACAAACTTGGTGAGTGGTGCTGACCTACAGGATGCGGAGGTTCACCAGTTTACTCCTGAGAGTCAGCGGGTAACCCACTGCTCAGACGCTCGCACAGGCCGGCACCTGGCCACGTTTACGCGTCGGCCGGGGTCGAGCCTGTACACCCTGACTACTGAGTCTCCTCCTGTCCCTGCGTCGGGTCAGGTGTTTGCTGCAGCGTCCAGGTCTGGTCCTGAGTCTGCCCCCTGCTCGTGTCGCCTCCTGTCTCACGAGACTCTCCTGTGGCACCACCGCCTTGGTCACCCCTCCCTGCCTCGTCTCCGAGGCATGGCCTCCCGTGTCCTTCTCTCTGGTCTTCCCCGGTCCCTCCCTCCCCTTCCTTCGAGGCCTGGCCCTACTTGCGTCCCCTGTTTCGAGGGGCGGCTGCGGGCAGCGGGCTGCCCCTCACTCCTCTCAGTTTCCCCCGACAGAGGCCCCGCTGCAGACGCTTCACATGGATGTGTGGGGCCTAGCCCGCGTCCGTGGACAGGGTCACGAGCGCTACTTCGTGCTGGTGGTTGACGACTACTCGCGTTACACCACAGTCTTCCCCTTGCGCAGCAAGGGCGATGTCACTGAGTTGTTGATCGACTGGATCCGCGCAGCTCGTCTCCAGCTCAGGAGGAGGTTCGGCTCAGACTTTCTTGTTCTGCGTCTGCACTCTGACCGAGGCGGAGAGTTCTCCTCTGGCCTTCTGCGAGCCTACTGCCGTGCGCGAGGCATCCTCCAGACTTTTACGCTTTCGTACTCTCCACAGCAAAATGGGATTGCTGAGCGCCGCATTGGCATGGTCATGGACATTGGCCGTACGTCCATGATGCATGCGGCTGCCCCCCATTTTCTGTGGCCGTTTGCGGTTCGGTACGCGGCGCATCAGATCAACCTTCACCCCAGGGTCTCCATGCCGGAGACCTCCCCAGCTTTGCTGTGGACGGGGAAGGTAGGTGATGCGTCTGCATTCCGTGTCTGGGGATCTCGGGCGTTTGTCCGCGACTTATCTGCGGACAAGCTGTCCCCTCGTGCTGCTCCTTGAGTCTTCCTTGGCTTCCCCCCTGACGCGCTAGGGTGGCAGTTCTACCACCCCACCTCTCGTCGTGTTATGTTTTCCCAGGACGTCACGTTTGACGAGTCGGTTCCCTACTACCGCCTCTTCCCCTACCGCACTCCGTCCCTCCCCCCGCCACCGCTCTTCCTTGTTCCAGGTCCCCCTGCGGTAGACCCCCTCCCCCCTCAGGGTCCTCCCCCTTCAGGTGTGTCCCAGGTAGACCCAGTCGAGCCGGTCAAGGTTACTGGTGACTCTGGTGCTGCTGGGGGTGCTGAGCCTGGGGGTGCTGAGTCTGGGGGTGCTGAGCGTGTGGGTGCTACGCCTGGGGGTGCTGGGCCTACGGGTGGTACTACTAGGGGTGCTGAGCCTAGGGGTGCAAAGACTAGAGGTGGTGAGCCTGGGGGTGCCACGTCTGGAGCTGCTGAGCCTGGGGGTGCGGAGCCTGCGGGCGCTGGGCCTGCTCGTGTGGCGTTTGGCGGTGCTGGGCCTGGAGGTTCTCCGCGTGCTTCGTCTCGGCGGGAGCCACTCTCTTCACACGAGCTGCGCGAGTGGTTTGCCCGGCGCTAGAGGCGTAGTGCTAGAGCTGGAGCTTCTTCGGCTATTGAGGGTGCAGGTGCCGCCGGTCCCGGAGGTGCTTGTACTAGGAGTGCTGGAGCTGCTGGGCCTGCGGGTACGACTGGAGCTTGAGCTGCTGAGGGTGTTGGGGCTGAGGCTACTGCTGTCAGTCCTGGCGGCGGTCGTGCTGTAGGTGCTGCTGGAGGTGCTGTTGGCATTCTTGCTGCCGCTGAGGGTGCTGGTGCTGTCCCTCCTGTGTCTGGAGTCACCGCGCGGCCTCGGCCGTACTTTGTTCCGCTCCTTCAGCAGGTTCTTGGTTCTCGTCCTCCCTTAGAGTGTCCACCGCCTGTCCAATCACAGTCACAGTTACCGCCGGCCTCCCCACTGCCTGCTCCTTCTCCCTACACTGGTCCTACTGGAGGTCT